TGTTGTTCCTTATTTGTCTCGAATTATTGGTAATTATTTCTGTCCCGCTAAATATTCATCTTGACCTGCAACCGACTCGCCCCTTAAATGATTTGCATCGACCCACACTGACACGCCCAATAACCACTCTTAGTAGTAAGTAGTTTGTAAACGGTTCGATTTATAAGAATTCGGTTCATAAACAGTTCGGTTTATAAGCGGTTCGGTTTATAAACGGTTCGGTTTGTAAACGGTTCGGTTTGTAAACGGTTCGGTTTGTAAACGGTTCGGTTTATAACGGTTCGGTTTATAACGGTTTTTATGACGGTTTAAACGGTTTCGGTTTGTAAACGGTTCGGTTTATTTTCGGTTCGGTTTAGATTTGGTTCGGTTCTAAAACGGTTTAACGTTATTCGGATCGGTTCGGTTTCGGGTTTACTAAAATGCGGTTCTGGTCGGTTTTCGGTTTCAAAAAATCGGTTTTTAATCGGTTCGGTTCTCATTCGGATCGGTTTGAATCGGTTCGGTTTCACCGGTTCGGTTCGGTTTTTGACAGTGCTAGACTCGCCCCTTAAATGATTTGCATCGACCCACACTGACACGCCCAATAACCACTCTTAGTAGTAAGTAGTTTGTAAACGGTTCGATTTATAAGAATTCGGTTCATAAACAGTTCGGTTTATAAGCGGTTCGGTTTATAAACGGTTCGGTTTGTAAACGGTTCGGTTTGTAAACGGTTCGGTTTGTAAACGGTTCGGTTTATAACGGTTCGGTTTATAACGGTTTTTATGACGGTTTAAACGGTTTCGGTTTGTAAACGGTTCGGTTTATTTTCGGTTCGGTTTCCTTTCCGGTTCGGTTTAGATTTGGTTCGGTTCTAAAACGGTTTAACGTTATTCGGATCGGTTCGGTTTCGGGTTTACTAAAATGCGGTTCGGGTCGGTTTTCGGTTTCAAAAAATCGGTTTTTAATCGGTTCGGTTCTCATTCGGATCGGTTTGAATCGGTTCGGTTTCACCGGTTCGGTTCGGTTTTTGACAGTGCTATATATATATATATATATATATATATATATATATATATATATATATATATATATATATATATATATATATATATATATATATATATTGCTAATTTTTGTTTTATATTTTTAGTTTGTTACTTTGAATAATTTGGGTGATGAATTTTGTTACTGAGTTTGCAATCACTGATTTGAATGTTGCATAGGTTTTGATTCCTATTCTGAAACCAACTAGATACACTGGTGCTGTTCCTTATAAAATGTAAGGTTAGTCTCACCTTCAATGCTTTTTTTACTAGCTATTTATGTTTCTCGAGTTTTTTGGTTTGCTATTTCAGTTATTGAGCATTTGCTTTAGAAAGTGGGATTTTGGTGAGTTTGATTGGTGTTGTTTACGTGCAATTAAGCCCTTTTCTTTCAAGTAGCTGTAGAATTGGATTCTGAGCGAAATCGGGTAAATGAATGACTAATAAGGTTTTGGATGAGGCCAAATAAGTGAAGTGTATTCTAATTTAGCGCCAAGAAATTTAATAATCAGCTTCAGAGATTTAGTAAACGGCTTGGTTTGTAGGCAGGAAGCAGCAAGATGGCGAATACTTGATTGTGCAGGAAACCTGTACACACTTTTAAAAGTCAGAAGTTGGGATGGGTATCAAGCTCATAGATGAACTTCTGTGGTTCAGATGTTCCAAAATTGTTATTTGGTAATTTAGGGTTTCCAACTTAATTCGAAAAAAGGTCAGTATCAAGCTCATTGATGAACTAATAAGGTGACCATGTGGTGATTGCTTTGAACTTCCAGTAATAAAGGGTAAAAGAACGAGAGAGGATCTTAATCTTATAATGGAAAATGAGAATTAAAAATAAGACTGATGTCAATGTTATTAGATTGGACAAAAGCTTAAGGGGCATTGTTGCAAACCTTCCTAGCATAGTCAATCTCAATCTGATTCTTGGACCTTTATTTTTTTGGATTAATATTCTTGGATGATATGACTGTTTTAAGGTTTGCACTTCAACTCTTCAAGGTTATGATGCTATTTCTATCTTGTTTTCATCGTTGGTTAACTCTGTTCTTTTTTGCCTACTATTTATGTAGATGATATGGGATGAAATGGAACTCTATTCTTTTTTGCCAACTATTTTATTTAGATGATATGGGATGAAACGGAACTCTGTTCTTTTTTGCCTACTATTTTATTTAGATGGTATAGTATAGGATGAAATGGGCAAGCATGAAACAAATAGGGATAACTGAATAAGATGATAGTTGAGCTTGAACAAGAATGCATAGAAGTATACACGAGAAGAGTTGATGTGGCTAACCACTCTACAGCTCAGCTACAACTGGCTATATATTGATGATTTCGAGGCAGAACTTGCATCCATTTATTCTGCAATTGGAGAACTACCATTAAATAATAATTAATTTGTGAACTTGGTAGGGTTAGTAAACTTCACTCTTTTTAGAATGCTCGATCAGGTTTCTAATTTTATGATGCTTTGTGTGATTACTTCGACTTGTGATGTGTCTAAGATACATTTGTTTTCAAAACGGTTTGCATGCTAGTTTTGTCCATATAATTCTAAAGCAAATGTCACTTATAATTATCATAAACTTATTAATTAAACCTACTTGTTTATGTGGAATGAAAATCTGAAATATTGATTTAATTTACTCTGTCACAAAGTGTTGGCGTTAATCTGAATTTTGATCAAACCCTATGTGCTATATAACTTTATTTTGACAATCAGGTACACAGAATTCAAACCCAAATTGAAGGAGGTCATATGTGAGAGTTTTATGACTGATGAGTTTGAAACGCGTTGGTGTGCGCTAATGTCTCAGTACAAGCTTGAGAAAAATGAATGGCTTACTAGGCTGTTTAAAGAGAGACATATGTGGGTGCCGGCCTATATGAAGGAGTATGTTTGGTCCAGTATGAAGACTACGCAAAGGGTTGAGAGCATTAATAGCTTTTTTGACGGGTTTCTTACTCGACATACAAAGCTGTTTGAATTCCCTCACAAGTATCGTAGGGCCATGGATAAGCGGATACGTGATGAAACCAATGCAGATGCTTACTGTTCAAAGTACTTGAGGAGGTTAGTGAGTGGTTTCAAGACGGAGAAGGTCTTTCAAAAGCTACGGACACAAAATTTCAAGAAGTCCAGACAGAATGTTCTTCGAGGATGATGTATGTGTATGATAGAGGTGAGCGAGTAATTTCTGACAATATAATTGAGTACACTCTTGAGGACCGAGTGTGGCTTGTTCCACCTGGTAAGAGTGAGGAGGTAATTACTGATCGGCATAGGTATTATTGTGTTACCTTCAACACCGAAACAACGGAAGTATGTTGTAATTGCAGGAAAATTGAAACACATGGTATTATGTGTAAACACACCATCAGTATATTAGATCGGAATTTTGTGCTTGATGTGCCTGAGAGATATATTGTAAGCCGGTGGCAAAAGGACATAATGCGCAAACATACAAGGGTGAAGGTAACTGCTGATGATCCATCCGAAGTTGTTCATGTGAAACGGTTCAATATGCTATTGAAAGTTGCTGAGCCATTGTGTGAAGAGGCGGCCATGGTGAATGATGAGACGGTATAAATGGTCATAGACTCAATTAATCAGTTGCGGTTGGATGTTGATAAGTGTAGGAAGACGAAGCTTGAGCAAACCATAGCTCTAAATTTCCCGAATGATTTTCAGGGATCTGCGAGTGCAGGGTTCAGTGGTACAACCTTGGCTGTTCAGAAACCAACTCATGTAGAAAATGTAAAGGAAATTGGTGCTACTGTTAAGGACCCGGTTCCACCGAAGAAGCCTCGAGGTAGGCCAAAAGGTTCAAGAAACAAAGGTTTAGCTGATATAGGTTACAAAAAACCAAAACAGCAGAAGGCTAAAATATGGCAGCAATCTTTATGTTTTTTACACTTATTGCGATATCTGTAATTTAGCTAGTGGTTGTTTGTCATTTAGTTGTTTTGCTGATAATGTAGGAACCAAATGATGCTGAAAACGAAGGAATGATGGTGCAGACTCACCTGTAGCCCCTGATGTGGCTGCTCCCGATATACTTCCAGTAAATATCCTGTTATGATTTTTCATTATACATGCCTTTCAATATTAACTTTGTAATACAAGTAGCTGCTGCATTTACTTTTTTGGAATCAAATTAATCAGGTTAAACGGAAGCAGGCACAATTGGTGGATTGCGACACTATTGGTCTGGGTGACAAAGTGACTTTTGATAATGAGTTACTAATGAGGAAAAGCATGGAATGGTGCACGGGTCCATCTGAATTCTGAAATGCTTTAGATGTGCTCTAGAAATGACTTAGGTGTTCTTGACCAGGTTAGGTGTACGTTTTAGGACATGCGTTTTTGGTGGATGTAGCTTAACCAAGTATTAGGCTATGTTTAAGCTTATATTCGGATCTCTACATAGTAACTCAATATTTGTGGTTAATTTGCCCTTAGTTATTTTAACTAAAAGCTTGTAATTTTTATGGATCACCATTAGTACTGGATTACAGATTTAAGTTTAAGCTTTAAGTTAATTTATATTACTAAATTATTTCAGTCAGATGATAAATTACCATATTACTTTGTGCAACTTTTATGTACTGTATTACAGGCTTACCATATTCAAAGAAAAAATGGCAAAAAATCAAAACACAATCAAAGTAATGAAAATCGACCAAAAGTGTCTGCTGATTAATTAATTAAAACAGTCGGCCAAAAGGCCGACTGACGAATTGAGAATCGTCAATAAACCCCGACCCCTTGGCCGGGTAAAGAAAAAAACGGCACGCAGGCCGTATAAATAGAAAAAATAAAGCATAGCTTAATTAAGCAGAAGGAGGGTGGTCAAGTTTAGCAAGCGTCTGAGGCAAGTCCTCAACTGGCGCCTGGTCCTTCTCAGCAGTCGCCTCCTCCTACGCAGGACCTTCCTGGGGCGGCTCCTCCTGGGCTGGCTCCCCCTACCTCGGCTCCCCTGCCGCCTCGCCTTCCTGCTCAGACTCAGAAGAAGAGTCAGATGACTCCTCCTCCTCTTCGGCCGCCTCCTCATCGTCTATCTGACCAAGAATTTCAGCATTGTAGGCGTCAGAACAGGTGGCGAACTGCTTATCCCATTTTTCAAAGTTGGAATTAGGGAGTAGAGCAGCCCAGGAACTCTTCATGATGGCCATATAGTCATCATTCATGTCCTGGACGAGGACCTCCTTGTCCTTTTGCTCCGCCTCCGACAGTTGAGCTTGAATTTGAGCAGTAAGGTCCGCCTCTTGAGTCTGTAGGCGGCTCTTCAGCTTGGTAAGGCGCCTACGCAGGCTCTCCTCCTCCTTCTCCGCCTGCCTGAGAGGCTCCATCTCCTCTCTAAGGGCCGCCAAGGAATGCTCCAGCTCTTGAATCTTGGCCCTGGCCGCCTCAAGGTCCTTCTTGACCTACAAATTGGCTGACGCCTGAGAATAAAGGATGTCAATCGTCAAGATTTCATTTTGGGCTATCTGGAACATAGCCTTGTCAAAATCAGAGGCGGTCATGGCCTTGGCAGAATTTACCTCTCGGTTCTTCTCATTAATGGGCCGACAGAGCCCTTGCACGCGGAGCATAGTCTGCGGGCGTCAGTTACACCAGGCGTCAAATAAACAGGCGGCTTAAACCAATAAAGCATTAAAAAGTGCTAAGTTACCTCAGCCAGGATGGCCTCCAAATTCAGGGTGCCGACTCCTGGCACATGGTCCTTCTCCTCAGTAGGAATGGAGCGCAGCATAGTCCTGGCCATCTGGACCAGGTCAATCTCAGCAGGGGCGCCTGCAAAAAAATAGATTGGTTAAATTCAGTCAAAACACGAAAAACAAGTCGCCTGGTTCTCATAAAACAGGCAGCCCTTCAATCAAATTCACAAAAAGAAAGGCAACTACCTTTGGTATCCCTTGGAGGCCGGCTGGTCGCCGGGGTAACAGGCGTCCTAACCCCTCTAGGGGGGGGGGGTTCCTGTTCTGCTTCTCAGCAGAAGGCCGCCTGGCATTCCCAGGTGTGGAGACGTCCCTAGCCGTCTGCTTTCGGACTTTGGGGTCCGGCTGGGAAGCAGGAGAGGACCTGGACGTGTTGCCCTGCAAACAAAATTAAACAAATTAATAAGCAGGCGGTGGGTTTACTAGAGAGATTTCTCAGGAGAGGTTCCCAGAGAACCAATCCAATGCTGACACGTGGCATACCCAATGATTGGGTAAAATGACGGCTTTTCTAGCCCAATTCCCGAGGAAGCCCTCCATTCCTAAGTTTTCGTTACCTAGGATGGCGGCACACATTTCAAGACCCTATAAATAGAGAGATGTTCCCATCATGGGACACATTCAGAAATATACGCAAAAAACAGAGCAATCATTTTATTATTTCAATAGCAATAATAATGTTTCCTTTTAATTTATTACAAGTATATGAATTTTATCCTTTAATTACAAATAGTATTAATCTAGTCAATTTGATCCTATATTTCCTGAGGTTTTTTTTAATCTAATATCTCAAATTTTTTGATGTGCTAACATCGGTATAATTCTACAAGATAATTTTGAGTACTCTTTCGAAGACCAAGTCTTATACACTTACTATTGAATGTGAGCAACTATAAGACTTGGTCACTTACTATTGAATGAGATTATGTGAGCAAATCTTTCTTTTCGAAGACCAAGTCTTATACACTTACTATTGAATGAGATTATGTGAATGTAATCGACATGGATCAATGATTGAATCAGTATGTTGTTCGTCTTATTCCAAACAGTTTACAACCATAAATTGAAGTAATAGTTAAACCAAAAGAGAGAGAATATAAGAGATGTCAAACTAATTAGCTTCAGTACGTACACAAATTGTTATACTCCCTCCGTCGCTATACAATTTTTAGGGAATTTGGTCCAAAAAAATGGATAGTACATATGTAATACGAAGAGCATCATTTATGCAGGAGATAATAATAATAACAATAAAAGCAGTTACAACAACTACAATTAAAATAATAGTTCTTCTTATTGTTATTAACAATAATGAAGCGTTTGCAAATTGATTTGAATATTTTTTTTAAACCCAAACAAAAGTGCAAAAAAATAGATTATTAGTTGTTAAATAGATACTAGTTCTCTTACTGTAATAAATACGAAGTAGTTACAAGAAGAATCAAGCAGAAATATCATAACGGTAGAAGAAAAATTATAGTTTCTCTTCCTTGCAATCCTTAAGCTCATAATCACAATACTTTGTCAAACGAGATACAGTAGAGAAGCAAGGTTCCCCATACTCTTTAACCTCCTACAACAATAGACAAAATCTTTAGAAGTCTTCATTTTTCTACAAAATTAAAGTGAATTATAAAATCATAATGAGCATATATATGGCAAAGCTAACAAACCTTCATATAAGTCTTGAAGAGATCCTCACACCTCTTACGACCTTTATTTCCAGAATAAGACTGGGCTACTAACCAGTGCGTAACTGCTGCAGTCCCAAGCTCTTTGTTCAGAAAAGCAAGTTCTTCTTGAATTGACATGCCACTCTCTTGCTTTCCCAGGGAGGCTAAAAGCTCTTCAACACTTGATAAACCCCGTAAAACGGCAACTTGCTTAAGCATGTCATGATGATCTGGAAGAAATAACATAACATTCACATATTATTATTTATAACTTTGCACATTTATATCATTTTTGCGATAAAAATATGGCTTTAAACAGAGAAGAATTGAGGGAGAGAATTTATGCTGACGCCTTCTACATTCTTTATATTGATTCATCATTTCTGGCCGACCCCAAATTATTTTGGGATCAAGGCTTTGTTGTTGTAGTTGTAGTATTTATATTATTTCTTTGAAGTTCGCAACAAGAGCAAGTGTGCTCATCTCCTTCCAATAGACTTTCATCATCATTCAAGGAAGAAGATTGCTCCCCAAGCATGTTTGTTAGTCTAACAGTAATTAGTGTATATCATGTCCTGGCCTCTTTCTTGCAATAATGCTTGTAATGCTTGTATTTAAGATGTGGTTTCGAGTTAGGCCTTGTTTTAGTTCAGTCAAATTATGTCCTAACGATACTTGAGCTTCCAAGAATGATCATAAAATAATAAGAGCACCCATATATATAATTGAGCCCCATGATTTATAAAATATGATACATAAAAGAGAAACAATGGAAAAAATTTCGACTTACAGTAGCCTGGTCCTCCAAGCTTCAATGCTGTTTCAAGGCCAAGTAAAATAACGTGAGAAAGGACTTTCATTGAAAGGAAGAGTATGAAGATTGAGCAATACATGATATAGGGTAAAACAAGAGTACAATACATGATTGAGCGAAAAGAAAGTTGGGACAATATTCTGAAAATTTGTGACATAATTGAGCAATAAAAACAAGGAAAAATGGAAAACAATAATCCCACCTTTGGGTGGTCTTCTCAAAATAGTCCCACATTTACTTAATTTCAAAATAATCCTACCTTTAACTTCAATCTTAATAAAACAAGCCTTTTACCTGTTGCTAAGCTATGGTAACCGATATATCAAGTTAATTGTAGCACTTGTCAAGTTTTCATTGGTTTAGATATTCATTTTTCTTAAAAAGCTTAAAACTATAAAATATAATCAATACCTTTGCAGCTCACATCTTCTGTAATTGTACAGCACACCACCCTCATCCAAAAATTCAACCCCTGCCACCACAACTTCCTACCCCAACATCACAACATCTTTGTATGATTGTACCTAACCAATGCAACTTCTAATAGATCTATGTTTCTCGCCCTAGCACCATTCAATCATATCAGCTAAGAATGATTAACGTGTTTAACTACTAAAATTAAGGTTGCAAATCAGGACAAAAAAAGATGCTCCTAGTCTTATCCTGAAAACATGGTACAAGATTTCCAATGGTTAATAATTTGGAATCAATTATAAATCATTCCATAAAACAACTTAATTCTACTAATAAGTTGAACTTGTGTAGTTAAAGTTGAACTTGTGTAGTTAAAAACTTAAAATTGTAAATAAATCACTATAAAGTTCTGTTTATTTAATTAAACCAGAAAAAAATTGATATTTTTAAGGGGAGTTAACCTTTGAAACTCCTGTCATTGAAATCCACCCAAAAACTGATCCATATCAAGGGGCGCACTGAAGTAGCCAGAACAAGATAATATACTTTAGTGTAATCCTCTACTTTCTCCTTACTTCTGCCGTTTCTATTCACCACAATCACACACCATCTTTACACATTTTCTGCCCAAAAAAACCAGTCCATAACAGAATACCACCCAAAGGTGGGATTATTGTTTTCCATTTTTCCTAAAAACAATCATATAAGCCTCATTTCCTCAACCAAAATCACAGATTGACATGCAATTCTACATAAAAGTGCTATCAAATTGAAGCAACGTCAGTTTGAATTCTTTCACAATTTGACTCATATAAAAGTTACTTTCTGTGTGATCCCTAATAACAATTAAAAAAAAAAAAAAAGGGTCAGGCCACTTCAACTCAATTCAGTGAAGATAATGAAACTTAACAAAGAAAAGAGGGTGTACATTGCAGAAGTTAATCAGATCACAAACTAAGGCTTTCATACTTGTACAGGATACAAACTGTTTATCATATGTTAGTTATGGAATAAGGATAAAATGTAGCATTGGATAAACATAAATTAGAACAATCTTTGTTCGCCCGCATAACGGAATTTGGGTGAGGAATTACATAGCTGAATAGGCTGTTCTTTGTTTTATTATATAAGGCCCCAATCTTATGAATTTGGATGAGGAGACTTGAAAATTGGAAAGGATCGGATAGAGGAAGGTGAAAGGTAAAGGACAACCAAAGCAAACTTTAATGAAGGTGATTGAAATCGATATGTGACTATTGGGAAACGGCTTATGGAGTCCCCGAGTTCATCAGAGACACTGAAAACAAAAGGCTGGTGCGCCTTAAATATTGGGAAACGGCTTATGGAGTCCCCAAATTACCAGCTTTTGTACCTTTGCCTTCCAAGTAGTAAAGGTGCAAACAAAAAGTTCAGAGAGTTGAAGATTCTGTAAGTGGTCATAGAGCGAACTACATGAAAATGCAACTCAGAATCTAGATGACCAGACAATATTAAACCCCGGACGACCCTTGCAACCGGGCCTTTTGTACTTTCGGTCCGAAATACCCGACCCGAGTCTTAAACCACCGGGCCCAACCACCCGCCTTTTCAGCCCGAAATCCGCCCGAAACCTAATTTGCTCACCTCTAAGACTAACCGAGACCTCATTCATAATTTCATATCCAGCTAATCTAAACGGAAAATAAAACAAATTGATGATCATACAAAGCAAAACAATTATGAAATTCATCATCCAAATTATGGCAAACGAAAAAGAGAGAATAAATACGGAAAAAAAAACTGTAACCTCGGAATAATCGGGAGCGTGACAACCACCCTCCTACGCTTGATTTGCCGCCGCCGCCGACTCTACTGCCTCCGCCCATCGTCTACGAAAACTAGGCAAGGATGAAGGAGCGTAAAAACTAAAAACTTTAGTTAGGGTTTTCTTCTGGTAAATGGTAATTTTCTGAAGTTGCCTCCTTTGTTCTTGGCTTTATCTACCAAGTAATCCGTGGTAAATTTTGTTACTGTAGTATTTTTAATTGACTAAAGTACCCTTTACTTTACCAAGGTTTAAATAAAAACTAGAATATTATATCATATCTTATTTATATTGAAAATATATCACACATGATATATTTTCGTAATCTATTTATCTTATATG